ATTATTATAAAAGCAAGAATACAATACTGGTTTACAAAAATAACCTTATAATATTAAGCATAATAACTCATAATAAAGAGTCGACTTTGGTATTACGGAATTATTCTTTGTAGATATTTTCGGCAGAATCAAAATAATATTTCTATGTCATGCATTACATGCAAATATCATATCAGAGAGGCATGATATTGTTAGCAATAATAGCAAGTGATGTACTAACAAAGATTTTATTATGAGGCCACCCACTTTAGATTTGATATACCTCTTCAAACAACTTAAATAACCATCACAAATATATCAAAGGAGAGCAATGGTGCTAAATTTATAAGTAAAGCAAAATTGATAATATGGGATGAAGCACTTATGGCTTTGGGAGGTAATTTCTGTCAAGTACTACCAGTAGTTCCAAAATCGACAAAAGCAGGGACGGTAAAAGTTAGCTTGCCAAAGTTATACTTCTGGCCTCAAACGAAAAAGATTCAACTGATAAGAAGTATAAAGTAAGAAAAGATCCAGTATTCAGTATCTTCTTGCTTCGTGTCGGAAACGAAGAAGAACATCCAATAAAAAGATGATCTGGTTCTTACTGAACACTTGGTTATCAATCTCAATGGTAATAGTAGTGCATTTAATAAGAGAAATATTTTTATCAATAGATTAAAACGCAATTTGTACAAATCGCATGATAGAATTAAAAAAATATCTTAGCTAGCGGAAATAAATATGTTGATCAACTAAATAAAATATTGATTGCAAAAATTTATAGTAAAAACAAAATGTTTTTTAGTTTTTAACTCAGCAGAAAATGATACCAATAATTACTACCAAGAAGAATAATTAAATATTTTAATACCAAATGGCCTTCTACCAAACATGTTTGTTGTCAAGTTTCTTATTTCTTACGGATGTTAGTATCACCGTAGATATAATAGACTAAGTTAAAATTGATCTTCCATTGTATTTAGGTTAATTTTGAAGAAAAATATGTCTGTCATGCTACTGAAAAACTTAGATACGCCGAATAGCTTATGTAATAACACATAGATGGTATATAGAAGTTTTGACAATAACGTCATACATGCAAAAATTATGATACTGGTCAATGTGCTTCTAAGTATATTTTTATCCTCGAATTCAACTTTCATCTTCCGAAACTAAGGAATATCCTTTTAAATTTGTGTGAAAATAATTTATAGTATGTTTATGTTTTGCAAATATAATAAATAAAGAATGATACACTTTAGTATATTAGTTTAATTAGTCCACTTTAGATTTGACAATAACGTTATACATGCAAAAATTATGATATTGGTCATTGTGCTTCTAAGTATATTTTTATCCCTGGATTCAACTTTCGTCTTCCGAAATTAAGGAATAAAATTTGTGTGAAAATAATTTTTAATATGCTTATGTTTTGCAAATATAACAAATAAAGCACGAGGACAAACATCCCAATTATTGGACTATATTTACCGCAATATGTTTTCTTGCACGGACAACTGTATGTTGCACTTTCAAGAGGGATATCAAAATTAACAACAAGAGTATTGGTTAAGGCAAAGCAATCAAAGCATTAGGAGGAAACATACACAAAAAAAATATTGTCCACAAAGAAGTGTTGGTTAAGATACCATCAAATTAAATATTTTTAAATTATTATACATAATTATCTAACTTACATGACAAAATTTATCATTTGTGTAAGTTTTGATGATGTCCTTTTATTTTAAATTCATGTATTATGCTAATGTAATAATATTTTTCGGCATTTAGATGATTGTTTTATTATTATACATAAAAATTCTCTTATTAATTAAATTTTATTGTTCATTCATATAAATAAATGTTTAAATCATCACGTGCTATTATTAACGTGCAACGCACGTTCATAGATACTAGTAAATGAAAAAAATTGGATAAAAGCCAAAAGTTTAGGAAAAAAAGATGGAAAAGTGACATTGTATAGCCACTGTAAAAATAATAGCAAAACAAATGTATAAAATTTGTATATATATACATTCTGTATGTTATATATAAAAAATATACAAATTTTATATATTTTTCTACTACCAGATATAAATAGTTTATGACGTGAGTTAAAAGTGATAATACCCCCCAAAAGATAATCCCTTCGTTCACTTTTACTTGGCATGTTTTGACTTTTCACGCCCCTTAAGAAACAATGATTGACATGATAATTTTACCACAATAACCCTATTAATTGATACTCAATAACTGAACCCAAAATCCCAAATAACTTCCGAAGAAAAAAAATACTTCAAAGAACAAGAGAATAAAAGATGACTTTAGTGGACTTTTGTGTTTAACGAAAGCTAATAATGAAGAGTTCTCCGTGAATTCCAATATTATGCATTGAAAAGTTACAATTGACCGTTATTTATTCAAGAAATGTTGGTTAATGAATTAAGGGTAAAATAGGAAAAAAAATTATCTTCTCTTGATATGCGTAAAGTGACAAGTAAAAATAAAAATTTCTAGTATATCTCCCAGGTAAAAGTGAACGTAAATGACAGTCATCATCTATGGAAGATGCCACATCACCTCTCCCATCTGCAACTGATCAAATAGTTAGGAAACCGAATTTTTGAGTTCACTCTCTCATTTTTGAGCTCTAGACTCGGTGGAGGCGATTTGGAGAAGGGATTTCTCTTACAAACCTTGTGTATGTGATTCTAATCTATTTCTAATCATATCTCATCAACATATTATCAATTGAAAAGAGATTGTTGAAAGAAATTTGATTATAAGAAAATTATTAACAACCGTGCATCTAAACAAATTAGAAGAATAGACTTCAAATATATATATCATACCTTTTTTTTTAAAGAATATTTAGGACTCAGATTAAACTCTAGCTTTACACATGTGTTTGAGCTGCTCCTGCTTTTGAGCAATATCTTTTCACTACCCTCATCCATGAGCCATTCTAGCAAATGTGAAGGTTGTGAATTCTAACTAACAAATCATGCCAAGTTTATATTTAGCCTTTTAAGAATTATGGTAGTGGGAAAAAAATAAAGCAAGACTTTATTGGCATTTAATTTGACAAAGAAAATTACTTATCTAAATCAGCCATGTTGGAGGAAGTTTAAGTGCGTCTAACTTTGTCAAAGCTATTGATCTATACCAGCCATGTTTGAGAAAATATAAGTTCGATCGTTTGTCGTAATTCAGTCTTGTTTGGATTCAATTAGCCTCAAAGCGATGTTTTTGAGTGAGCTTTTCCCATTAGTAATTAGAACTAATTCTTGTACTTGGTATTATGCCCACGTTTCCAGTTTTTAATTAGAATTAGTTAACTTATCCGCACTACGTATAAAGTGAATCCACCAAATAACGTTTTTGCAAATTTAGCTGAGAGAGAAGAGTGCCTGCACGCGCACACATATAATATANTACAATCTTCTCAATTGGAAGAGTTCCATCCCTATTTAAATACTATCATAAATTATGGAGTATTAAGTACATGTATCAGTAATAGTTTTTAAAGACTTTTGAGATTGAAGAATAAGAAAGCCAAAAGATGTCAACAAATAAATAGGTATTCATGTAAGAGAGGCACCATGCATATATGTTACCTCTTGTAAGAAAAAATTATGCACTAAATGAAAAGTATTGGATAATTAAAGTTTGATGCCACGAAAAGAGCACACAAATGGATATATTTATTAATAGTAATTAATATCAATTATGATGGTGGAGGATAGTTGATTAATCATATTTAAAGACGTTTGGGCTATTTAAATAAGGTAACTGCCAAAATGGGGGAAACATGTTGTCTTCTAGTTTCAAACAATTAACAGCGTAAGATGAGATTTTACTCGGGGTGTTCATGGTTCGGTTTGGATCGCTTTTTCTCTAAAAAGAAACCAAATCAAGTAATTCTGTCTTTAAAATATTGGAACCAAACCAAACCAATTAAGTCGGTTTTTTATCGATTCAGTTTTGTCGGTTTTTCGGTTTTTTCATTATTTATCGATTTTTTTCTTAAATATGAGACATACATTACCAAACGCATATTCCGACGACTACATTTTCAACATAACACTATCAAATCAATTGCTCTTTGAGAAATCTATCATTTAACAAGATATATTGATGATAATTGAATCAAATAGTGATAAATAATTTAAGTAGTCAATTAAAAATCGATTAATTTTAACATGAAATAAATTCTTGTAATTAGGAAAAGAAAACTACCAATCAAACTTGAATGTAAAGGCAAAGAATTAGATTATTAAATAGCAAAGAACTAGACTAAAAATATAAATGACTAATATGTACCATAAAATTTTAGAAACTTTATATAAAAATATACATATATATAGGTGTAATAATAAATTTAAATAGCTACTTTTATAGTCAGTTTGAGTCGGTTTTTTCGGTTATTTTTTGATTAAAACCAAAATCAAAACCAAACCAAATTTGATCGGTTTTAAAATTCAAAATCAAAACCAAACCAAATCTAAAAAGTATCGGTTTTTTTGGTCGGTTTGGTTCGATTTTTCGGGTTTTTATGAACACCTCTACTCCTAATAATGACCTAAAGAATCTGTATAAGAAATTCAAAATGGAAAAGGGCAATTTTCTTGTGCTCAAGTCAATATTATAATAATCTGTAAAAATAAAAAGCCGAAAAAGAAAACAAAATTAATTAAATTGAATGATCAAGGCATCAACTTTTGGTTATCAAACGAACATAAAATGAATCACAGAATTGCAGGTACCATATTGCTTTCTTTCTGCTTTAATAGACACCATTATATTCAATGTTGTAACCTTCCCATAATCAGGAAAGTGTCCGTTCAAATTGCTACTGTTATTATAATTAATTGTTGTAACTGATCCCCTCTTTCTGGAAGAACACGATCTGTCAGAAAATAAATTTTAATCTTCAATGGAAGTTTTAAATAAATGAAACAAATAGTATAAGGTTGTGACTTGGACTATGTCCATGTTTCCTTTTTTTTTTTTCCCTTTTAATCGGAATGACAATAAAAAAAGAATGACTGTGTCAACTCTTTCTTAAGGGAAGCAGAAAGGAAACTCCAGCAATATAATATACTTGACCCAAAAAAAGAGAGACGAGTATTAGAGAGAGATGTCTACGGACACAATCATCAAAGATGAAGATTCCTTTGTTTCTAATACTGATGCAATCATATATGCTGCTTCTGATATTTCAGGTTGGACTCAAAGCCTTATCTCCGATCCCAACATTCCTAATTCGTCTAATTCGACGAGTGTAGACGATCTCCACTGCTGCTGCTGCTGCTGCTGCAAGTGGTAGTACTGATGATGATTTGATTGCGTCTTTTGATAGGTCTAAGAATAATAAAAAGAAGAGTGATCAGCAAGAGATAAAAATATTTAATGTTGATTTCAGGGATCTTTCTACAGTTGTTGTTTGCAGTAATAAAGATGATGAGGAGGATAAAGGATCAGAGAGCAATAAAAGGCTGAAATCTAGCGCTGAATCTGAATTTGATGGCGGTTTATTGGCAGAGATTGGTGGGGCTGCTAATAAAGAAACTAGCGTTAGGCTTGTCAATAATCTAGACACAGCGGATGCGCTTGTCAGGGACATAAGAATCAGGGGCGGATCCAATGTTATTAAGAATACTTAGCGATTTCACAATCAAGGGCGGAACCATGAGAGAAAGGTATGACTTATTTGCACAAGCTTTGGATAGAAGTATTCACGGAATGAATGCACAGTATATTAATTAGTCAAAAAAAAAATAATTACGACTCATCCGTAAAGCAAGATGACTAATTTCCTGATAATGCAACCTCATAACTCAAACAATTGGTAAATTTCATAAATGGTCACCTAAGTATGATCTTTTTCCATCAAATTTGTATAACTTTGTTTTCTCACTCAAAAATTATAAAACTTTCACTAACTCACACAAAAATCATAGTGATCGGAAAGCACAATATTTCGGTAGTATTTTCTTATTCCACATTTTTTATTTTTTATTTTTAGTCTAATAAATAATAACCCAATTAAAATAGGAGAAATATATATTTTTAATCGTACCCAAAATTAATAGCCAATATATATATATATATATATATATTATGGCTAACAAATGTAATTAGTTATGGTACCGGTTAATTATATATATTTTTTCTTAAAATAAAAATGACCCAAGTCAACTTACCCAATACCTATATACATAAATTAAAATAATATTAAAAGTAAAAAGTTTGGCATAATTACAAGATACAAAAAAAACGTTATGTATCATTGTCGCCGGAACTCGAAGGGAGAGATGGATCTATATTTCCCCCGGTAGAGGAAGGCAGATCCGCTATCGGTTCAGGGCCTTCATCTTTTTTAGTCTCCCTTTCGATTCCCGAGTACTCGGAGCCAGTACTCGAGGAGTCAGTCGCAGCGAGCCGAATAAGAAAATTTCGACGAGCAGATAACTCCAGTTCCCGGGCCTGAGCAATACAATTGTCTATGTTGGTGATGCCCGCTTTGTCCTCCTCCAAGGTCTTCCTATTCATATAGATATACGACATATGTCTTCTTGAAGACAAGGTAATCCTCTTGCTCTTGGAGTTTGGCTTGAAGTTTATCGATTTTGGCCTGAAGCTCTTCCCGTTCAGACTTCATAGCACGAAGGCGGGTGTCGATCTCAACATTCGTAGTTGAATGGAGCCGGTTTTGGTCCATAGCCCGCTTAAGCCTATCTTCTATTCGGACCCTATTTCTCTCGACATCATTGGCCTCCTAGGTCTTAGAGCTTAAGTCTGACTTCAAATTATTAAATTGCTCCTCGAATGCAGACTCGCACTCGGCAGTAGCAAGCACAGATAATTTGCAAGCTCCACCAGCTTGGACAAAAGATGGCACTCTTTCGCAATCGAAAGAGTGGTCTTGTCCTTCCTCGAGGTATCTGGGGAAGGGGTTGAATAATCATGCCCCAAATTTCCGTGGTTGGAAGACCGGGAGGGAGAATCATCCTTTTCTCGATCATCTATTATTAGTGGAGGAGATGCAATTGGTGCTGGTGGCGAAGGAGTAGTAGGTATCGATGGGCGTGAAGTTGTTAGTGTGGAAGGATGAGAAGTAGCTGCGGCAAGAACAGTGATGATTGTTATTTGTTCAATGGTGGGAGGCAGAAGAGGCTCGGGGTCCGAACTCCTTGAACTTGAAACAACAATGGGGGTCGGGAAGAGAGAATCAACATTCTTTACCAGGTCTATCTCACCCCAAAGTGATTGGGTTTCCTCTGCGGCCGAGTTTTGAAGCTCTCCCGGCTGAGCATTCGGTTGAGCTGACGAAAATCCTTTTTTCCTTATAAGGGAAGCCTGTAACGACTCGATCAATCGTTTTGTGTAATTGCTCCTTGTCACCACTGTTAATGCTTCACATATGTGAGTTTACGCTTTTATGACGTGTAGGGTTGATTAGTTTCGTTCTGAGAAGCTTTCGGGTTGATTTGGACCCTTAATTATAGACTTGCAAGTTTAAATTTGAAAATGTTCACCAAACTTTGACTTTTGTGAAAACGACCTCGGAACCTGTGTTTTTACGACTCCAATAGTTTTGTATCGTGATTTCGGACTTAGGCGTATACCTGGAATTGATTTTGGAAGTCCGTAGGTTGATTTGTGTTGATTTACCGAAATTTGGCAATTTTAAGTTGGAAGTTTGATTGTAGGTTGACTTTTAGCTATCAAGCACGGAATTTGATTTTGCGACTTGGAATAGGTCCGTTATAGCATTTAGAATTTGTCTGCAAAACATTTGGCGTCGTTCGGAGTTGATTTGATAGGATTCAGTCGCTTAGTTGAAATTATATAAGTTCTTGTAAATCTCTTTGAAAATCATGTGTTTTAAAGTTCAATTCGTAGTTTTAGATGTTATTTTCGTGTTTTGATCGCGCGAACGAGTTTGTATGATATTTTTAGACTTGTGTGGATGTTTGGTTGGGAGCCTCAAGGGCTCGCGTGAATTTCGGACGCTTAGCGAAATGTGGTTGGAATTAAAAGGTTGCTGGTTTTCTATACATGCCTCAGATCTCGCAATTGCGAGGTTTGAGTTCGCATTTGCAAAGGTAGGCCTGGTCTGTTGGGCTCGCATTTGCGAAGTCTGTTGGGATGGGCTAGGATCACAATTGCGAGGGCAACAATGGTCGCAAATGTGATCCAATCTTCGCATTTGCGAAGAGTCCCTTAAGTCTTCAGTTCCGCAATTGCGAGGATTTATTTGCAATTGCGACATTTTCAAATGATCAAATAGTTAGGAGACGGGATTTTTGAGTTTATTCTCTCATTTTTGAACTCTAAACTCGGTAGGAGACGATTTGGAAAAGGGATTTTCTCCTACAAAATGTGGATATGTGATTCTAATCTATTTCTAATCATATCCCATCATCATATCTTAGATTTTAATATCAAAATCATGTGAATCAAAGTAGAAATTTATGAAACTTTGTCAAGTTTTTGAAAAAAAAATAAAAAATTGAGTTTTGAGAATCGATTTGGACTCGGATTTTAAAACTAACCACATTATGAACTCGTGGGGTCATGGATAGACGAAATCTACCATTAGACCCGGGTTTCGACGGCGGGCCCTAGGTTGACTTTTGTTGACTTTTTGAGAAAAGTGTGAAAATCTTAATCTTATCTATTGTAATTGAATTCCCTAGCATTGTTTGATGTTATTGAGTCGATTTGGTTAGATTTGAGCCATGCGGAGGCGGATTGTAAGGAAAAAGCTATTTTCGAGTGTTGAATTGGCCTAATTGAGGTAAGTGTCTTGCCTAACTTCGTGTGGGAAAACTATCCCTTATGATTGGTATTGTTTGATTCAATTATGGTAAGTGAAATCTGTGTACGCAAGGTGACGAGTGAGTACACGAGTTATACGTAGTATTTGACCGACTTAGGCTACTTAGACTATTTCCATGCTTTAATTGAAATGCTCTATTATGTTCTAATTCCTCATAGTCAAATTATCCTTAATTGTGTTAGAATATCCTTAAATGCCTTAGTTGATTGTTTAGTATTTGTTCCACATCCTACTTACTAAATTACTCCTATGCTTTAGTTGAACTTGTTGTCTCCTTTATTGTCAAATGATATTCCTTCATTGTTAATTATCATTGTTGAAGTAATTATTTATGTTATCCCTTTACTTGTTGAATTTCATTATTTGAGATTCATTGTTAAATATTATCTCTTTAATGTGAAGTTAGTCTTATCCAATATTGTAGTTATATATTATTTATCTCATTGTTAAGTTATTTGGTGTTGAAGTTGTGGAAGTCGTTAATATGAGGCGATGTTGGTTATTGTTGAAACATCCATCTTGTTGAGCATTTTTCATTCATTCATTGTTGTTGTTGATATTCTCGTATATGTTGTGTTGGAGCCATGAGCTATTATTGTGAAAACATTGATATTGTTGTTGTTGGCAAGTTGTATTATATAGGCACTTGTGGTGCGAACTGTTATTGTGATATGATATCTACGCGCATGCGTCGGTATAAGGCTTGGGTTGATGTGCATGCGACGGTATAAGATGGGACTTATCTACGTGTTACTTGTAGGGGAACTACGTGTATCCACTAGGTGTCATAAGGTGCACTAAAGTGCATGTAGCTATTTCGGAAAAATTATTTTCAAAACCTATTTTTCAAATGTAAGGCTAACTCGGCGATATAAGGAAAAATTGTGATTGAAATTGAGAAAAGTGAGTATGAGGCGGTACCTCGGTTGTGATTATTAATTATACGAGGCGGTACCTCATTTTTGATTTCATTATACACGAGGCGGTACCTCGACATGATTCTTGCTGTTTATTTCACATTGTAAAGTATTTTAGTGGGATATATATATGTTGTTTCAATCCTTATTGTTCTATCAGTTGTTGTCCGTACATGATCTTTGTAGTCCTTTAGTTGCTTATTTTATGCTATTTCTATTGTTGATTTTCCTGTATTTGATCATGCTATCATCTTGTTCCGTATTAGTTGCTTTCTTACTCTCCATTTTATATCCGTATTTTATTTTTACTATCTATTTTATAGCCTAGTAGGTGTCTTGACATGGCCTCATCACTACTCTATTGAGATTAGGCTTGATACTTATTGGGTACCATTGTGGTGTACTCATACTATACTTTTGCACATCTTTTGTGCAGATCCAAGTACGCATGCTCGTGCCGGTAGATAAAGATTCATGCTAACTGTTTTATCGGAGACTTCAAGGTATGCATGCTCGGTGTCCACAGGCTCGGAGTCACCTTCCTTTATCCTCATTTAATGTTGTATTTACTTTTAGACAGTGATGTAGTAGTTACTCTTGTTATACTCTATAGATCTTATGACTTGGTTCCACCGGTTTTGGGGTATGTAGTATGAGATTCGGTTTTCGGAAGTTTTTTTTATCTACTGTTCAGTTATTTTCTGCCATTTTGTTAATTTATATCTGTTCAGTTTTCATGATTGTTAGGCTTATTAAGTCGTAGAGACTAGGTGCCATCACAACATCCTACAGAGGGAAATTAGGGTCGTGACAAAGCCTCTTCGTCACTGGCTTCCCCTTCATCAACGAGGACAACTGTGGTAGGCTCGGATGGCATTTTCCTTGCTTTCTTCTCTTGAGCCCCAACCGAGGAGGAGCATCTTCCCTTCGATTTCTTGAGTTGGGGACTCCGAGAAGGGGCACCCACACCGAAAGTAGATCCGCGAGCTCCGCTTCGGACAAGGGCATTTTGAAGTACCCTCCTGGCCTCTTCGGGGTCAACTAAGGCGTCGACCTTGGGACAAATGACAGAGCCCCTTGGGAGTCCTGTATCAGACCAAAAATAGAGTTAGCAGTTTGATCACGTAGATTTCTTGTATTCAAACAGAATTAACAGAAAGAACTTACCGTGATGTTTGGCCTTCCAACTGTATTTAGGGGACATCTCCTTCCACCGTCGGGATTCTGGAGTTGTGATGTCCAGAATATTCTGAACCCATTGGTCCAAGCACTAAACACGTGGCGGTTCCCGCCGAGTAGCTCAAGCAGAAGAAACATGAAAATCAATGACAACATGAAGCAATCTTTTCACGGAGGAAGGAGGTGAATAACTAAAAACTTACGAAAGTGATTCCACGACTCGAAAAAAGTTAGAGTTATGGCCGTAATAATGTACCTAGTAGTAGTGATGACGAATCATTCTATCAACTGGCGATTGTTGTCATCATCTACGTTGGTGAGAATAACGTGGTGTCCATGCTTGTTAAAGTTTATTACTCCCTATCAAAAAATTTTGGGAGAGTAAAGATTCATCATGTGTGCAAGGGTTAGGATTTTCCCGGTCTCCTTGCACAGTTGGCGAAGGCAGGCTACCATTCACCATATAGATGTGCCTACTTATGCTAAGCGGATCTGATACCAATGGCAGAACTCCAAAATTATTGGGTCAAGACCTTCGCTCGACCCCAAAGAGAATGGACGCAAGGTAAAGGGATACGTATAGACATACGAGAACCCCTCCTTGGTGAAGGTAAACCACTCTATCATATCCGGGGCGAGGATTTCAAGATTGGGACAGTTGCAATCCTCTTTCCAGTTGGGATACTGGAAGGGAAAATGGAGGAGGGGTACCTTCTAATTGACCAAGTTTGTGAAGAGGAAGTAGGAGCCTTCTCTTGAAAGTCGTTCGTGGTGTTGAGATGATGTGATATGATGGTGCTAACAGTGGGAGGTTCAGAATCGACTTTGACCTCCTTGTCCTTGTTTTTCTTCGGACCTCCCCCGTAGATAAGACCGATGTTACCGGAGAAAGCGGTGTAAGAAGCCATGGTAATAAAAGGTTAGTAAGATTTTTGCTGAGAAATTGAACTTTATAAGAGGGTTTTGACCGATGTTGCCGGAGAAAGCGGTGTAAGAAGCCATGGTAATAAAAGGTTAGTAAGATTTTTACTGAGAAATTGAACTTTATAAGGGGGTTTTAAGCAAATGCAGAGAAGAAGAAAGACTTATGAATGTTGTGAAAGTGAAGAAGTAATGATGAATGGCAGAAAAGTTATAGATGGCAAAAATTGTGGTCATGATTACTTTGAAAATTAGAGAAAATATTTGCTAAATCGTGGGGCAACACATGTTCAGGGTATTAAATGCGAGAAGACGTGCGTCCTTTCGAGCGTTAGAGCCTTTTCAGGAACTTTTCTGCCAAGAAAGGCATCTTCACCAACTTTCCGGTAACACTAAGATATGTCACCGGAAAGTAGGGAGACTATCTGTATGGGGTAAAATTGGTTTATAATGAATGGTCGAATGGTAACATGACACGTGAAACCGAAGATAGACAAAATGCAAGTCAGTTAATAATCAATACCGGATACAACGAATGTAATCGATATCGGATAAATCCCGAAGGGAGCGTACATAGTCGATGGGAAAAGATCAATGGTTTGTCATAGGGTAGCATTCAATGAGGGAATATTTACTAATATTAAATAAGCGACCGTTGCAGAGAATATTTGCTATCTGCCATTACACGTTCATCAATGACTCTTTTATTATCATTAAAGAAGAGCTTGATTCTAGGATCTTGTTTCCCTAGATAAAACTATAAATAATAGGCTCAATAGCCATTGTAAGAAGGGGAAGTTTACTCATACAAAAAGCTTTATTTTATTACTTTTGCTCTCAATTAAACAACTCCATTTGTAACTTATCGTTACTTTCACTTTTATCCCCGGAGGTATTGCGTTCGGAGACAGGCCTGTCATCTTATTCAATTTCAATTACTAATCTTAATATTAATTTTATCTCTTCGTTATTTTTGTATCAAATCAATTCGATTGTCTATAAATCACGTAACAAATTTAACTGTACCGTTTTACTGGTAAAAATTATATTCATAATATGTTGTGAAACAATCAATAGTTTGTGATCAACGTGAAATTTTTGTCAAGAAAGGTTCCAGGATTTTAATGACTATTGAAATAACACTTGATTGGTGGAAAAAAAGGAAAGAAATCAAGATTCAATTGGCAGTAAAATTACTTCAGCCATGTAACTAACGTCCAATTTTTTTCGAATCAAGTCTTCACCTACGCATGACATGTTCCAGGAAATTCAGTGTCCAACTTTTCTCGCAATTTTAGTTTTGTTTGGATCACTATCACTTTTCCAGTAGAGAGTCATTTTGTGTTGGCATAAGATAAGCACAGGCTGATATAAAATTTAAAGTTTATGGGTTCAAATTTATATATAATAACAATTGGGCTCATAGTCTATAGATATTTAAAAAAAAGTTTAATATATATACAAAGTCTAATGCATTGCGCATTGATAAATAAAGACAAATTAAAGTTGATCCTTCGAGTGACGTGTCTGAAATGAAAGAGAAATTTCATGAAATGACAAAAAGAAAAAAGAAAGTTGATAAACTGCTTATGTCAATATCTCAATCTTTTTAAACGAAGATAAATTTACCTCCAGCAATTTATCACAAAAAAAGAAAAGAAGATGAGTTATAGAGAGATGTGTCTTTGGACACAATGATGGATCAGATTATCAATTAGAAACACAAAAAGACAATGCATTCAGAAGGTTTAGATCAGATTTCTGCCCCAAAAATGGTAGATAATACATGTTGAAGAGATCCATCACTTTCCCTTTTTTCAGAAACTTATACATGTTTAACAAATCCAGGTTCCTCACATGATTTCAGAGAGAGAAGACTAGAAAGTTTAATCATAACTTGAACCCCGAAAAGTGCACCTTCGAGGTGTCCATAGAAAAACAATTCATTAGGTATCTCGTCAATGCTTTTAAGGGATTTTGCATTTAATCAGATAGTACCTACAGTTGGGAGTAATTAAATTATGAGTAAATTTTATGGGTTATCATTCAATTTTGTGTTCATTATGCAAAAATAATTTTTTTTAATTTTATTACGTAAAAGTCATTCATCTTTTAATCTTTTATGTTCATTACCCAAAAGTCATTTTTATTTCTTTTGTTATACAAAAATTATTTTAATATGCTCTAGTTATCACAATAATCACTTTGATCATATTTTACAAATCATTCACTTGAAAAATCTATTATGCCATTGACATTATAAGTCATCCCATTTATGTAATACCTTATGTATTATATGCTATATAATATACTTTTACCCAAGTATTTTACTTATAATTAAAATAACTTGATATTATTTTATTTATTATTTTTATAATATATTTGTACATTTAATTTACTTAACATTAATGTTCAAGATACATAAGTAGCTTTATTAAATTTGTCAGTAATATTACCGTGAACAAATCTCAAGTCCACGTTCTTAACCAAGCTTAATAAAATATTTTTAATGAAAATTATAAAATCAAAGCATACAGATTTATCAGCTAAACCATACTCATTAATCAAATAAATAAAATACCCATATTTAGTATAATGACACATCATAATAATACTTTTCAAATAAATAATATTAATAGATAAAGCTTTAAAAATATTAATATTTAACATAAATATCTTTGATTTTTTTAAAATTTTTTTATTGACTGTAAAAAAAACTATCATTTGTTAAACAAATCTGTTTGTTATTATTTCAAATAAATATTAAAAATAAATATTTTTTTATATTTAAAATATGTTCATGTTTAAATATGATTAAACAAAGTGAGTGCCATGAAAAAATATTAAATGTATGAATATATTATAAAAATAATAAATAAAATAATTTAAAGTTATTTTGAATTATAAGTAAAATCCCTAGGTAGAAATATATTATACAGTATATCATATATAATGTATTACAGAAATGAGAGGATTTATAATGTTAAGGGTGTAAAAGATTTTTCAAGTAAAAGTATTATAAAATCTGGCCAATGTGACTTTTGTGATAAATAAAGCACAGTAAAATAATTTTTGTGTAACAAAAGAAAGAAAAGTGACTTTTAGGTAATGAACACAAAGTTGAATGATTTTTACATAACAAAAAGAAGAAAAATAACTTTTGTGTAATGAACACAATGTTGAATGATCATCCATAAAAATTTTCTCCTAAATTAGAGGAGAGTTAAATTTGAATTTGCTTTATGCTACTGTCGTACAATCTATAATAGAAAACAAATTATTAGATATTGTGTTAAATAAAGTAGTCTCAAGTCATGATGTGATTAGAAATTCATTAGATTACATAAACAAGAAATACAAAATGTACAATTTTAAAGTCGTCCAAGCATCTAATTAACGGAAGGAAAAGACTTATTATCGAAAAGAAAATCTATGATGAATTTCAATTTTTAATGTATTATTTTCACATCTAACCAAACGTTCAAAACCACACACATTTATAATAATCAATATTCTATTTAATTGCGATTATATTACATGAATTATAACTTTAAATTAAAAAATAAATTCAAAGTGCTTAAATTAAATATAGAACATTAAATATTTAGATCCAAACAATAAATCTACCATTAAAAAAATTGTACTAAATCGAACCTCATCAATCATTTGAACTCTTAAATTAAAAAATCTATTACAATATGATGTCCCTTAAAATCGAAACGATATAAAGAAGATTAACACAAAGGATGACATGCAGGATGACACACATCGAAAAATGATCAAAATTCTTTTTTTTTTTAATTTAAAAAAATTACAATTCAGTTCATCCACAAAGTAGGATTAGTTACGCTATTAAATAGGAAAAATGACATTGTATAGCCGCTCTGAAAATAATAGTCAGAAAAAATATATATTTTTTGTATATATATATATATATATATATATTTCTGTATATTATATACAAAAATTATATAAATTTTATACATTTTTTTCAGCTAATAGTTACTATATATTTGCCTTATTAAATACGTATATCAAGCTAACACTTGTATTCTGAAATTGATATTATTTGTTTTCTAGTTCACCACAATTTCAAGTTGATTTTAATTACTATATAATGAAGACTTGACTAATAGAACACAAAAATGAAGACTTAATTGGCAGTTGTGAAGAAAATATCATGAGCGCCATGTTCTCTTCATTGGCAGAGGGGTCACTGTCGCTTTTCGTCATTCCGCGTGACAGATAAAGTTTGATAATCAATTGCTACTATTTGTATTTCTTATTAATCAAATCTTCCTCGTCAGAATAAGCGCGTTGATAGATAATCAAGTACTATTATTTATACGTATCAAAGGTAGATAACAAATTAATAAATGGACACAATTTAAGCGATACCTCCAGCAAATTAATCAAGCCTCACTCTTTTTAGCAATTTATCACAAAAAAAAATTAGGAGATGTCTATTGTGTCAGATGAGGAGTCCTTTGATTCTAATACAGACGCAATTATCTATGGAAATTCTGATCATTCTGGTGAAAGCATGATCTCAGGTCCCAATATTGCTTTGTCTTCTGAATCTTCCACGAGCGTAGACGACCACCACCAGCAGATTTCTACGGCTTCTGATGGTGGCACTGATGATTTGATGACTGTATCATCAAGTTCATCTTCCAAGTTTACGAATAATAAGCAAAGTGAACGTCAAGAGATTATGATATTTAATGTTGATTTCAGTTTGCAATAACAGTGATAATGAAGTTGGCAAGATTGAACAAAAAGTAAATTTAAATTTCTGTGGGAAAAGCGTGAGCGAAGTGGAGAATGAAGATGAAGTTATGATGAAGAATGAGGTGAATAGAGAGATAATGGTAGCTCCATTATCACCTTCAAGTTGGTCTTCAATTTGGGATTGTGAAGATGGAAAGGGTATTTTTGAAGTGCCACCTTTGTCACCATGAAAGAAGGTTCTTCTTCTTCTGTTAATAATAATTAAACCTTCTTCCACTAGAAGAGTCATTCCACGTTTAGAGGAGCGCGTCGATAGATAAAGTTGAACTATTACAAACGACTGAAAGCGAAATTTCTTGGAATAACCATAAATAAAAAAAATAAAAAATTTGACTATGCAAGACCTCACTCCAGCAATTTATGAAAAAGAAAAGAAAATGAGTTATAGAGAGATGTCTATGGACACAATAATGGAAGACGATAGGGATTCCTTTGTTTCTAATACTGATGCAATCATCTATGCTGCTTCAGATCCCAACATTCCTAATTCGTCTAACTCGACGAGTGTAGACGACGACCACCACCACCAGATTTCGACAGCTGCTGGCGGTGGTACTGATGATTTGAACATTATATCATCAAGTGCATCTTCCACCGAGTCTAAGAATAATAGTAATAAGCAAAGTGATCAAGAGATCAGAATATTTAATGTTGTTTTTAGACCAGTTTCTGGGGCTTCTGTAGTATATTTACCTTCTTCTTTTTCATCGCCAACTCAACCCCAAAACAATCTTCAACCAGATTATCAATTAGAAACACAAGAAGACACTGCATTCAGAGGGTTTAGATCAACTTTTGGCCCCAATAATATCCCAATAGCTGCAAGAGATCGTAGTCAAAGCATGCTGAATCGATCCATCACGTTTTCAAGAAACTTATACCTGATGAAGATGTCAGAACAGATGCAGGTTAACCACCAAATGACCACAAATGGTAGTTACAAAATGCCAGTGAGAAGAGACGCAGAAGGCCTAATGATATGTTTCAACAATGGCATCTTTGCTCCGAGCGGAAAGGATCGTGATTTCTTTCAAACGCAATATATTACTTCAACCAAAAAAAGAAATCATTTAAGAAATAAGGAATAATTGCAGGATGAAACCAACTTGTTATAGTTGCCTAAATAATTGTAGTGTTGTCGAAAGTAGGATTACCAATAGTGCTAAACTGTAGGCAAAAGTGCTTACTGGACCTAAATTCAAGGAGTTGGGCTGCAAAAGTGGAGGAGCACACACCAGAAGCTGCTGATCCTTTTTTGCACCTGTTTTGGATTCTATTTTTATTTTTTAAAGTTTGCAGTTCTTTTATAGTTAACAGTAGACTTGTTTAGCATGTTTTTAGCAGCATTTTATTGACACTCAGTCACTAACTTCATGTATTTAAGCAAAGGTTTCTTATATGTAGCTCGAAACACTAAGCTCCCGCTATGTGCGGGTTACAGGGAAGGGCCGGACCACAAGGGTTTATCGTACGCAGTCTTATCCTACATTTCTGTAAGAGAGTTTTTTCTCGGCTCGAACTCGTAAACTCCTGTTAAAATGGTATGGTATGTCAACAACTTTACTTTCTTGATCAAAGCTTTCTTAATCAATGAAATGTACCACTTTGTCCAAGTCAAATTTACTTTCCTCGGCTTCTAAAATCATATAACACATCTCTAGTAGACGTGGCAAAATCAAATCACTTTTTTGTAACCAGCTCAAGTGTAAACAGGGTTAGATGATGACCCTGTTATTAATTTGGTCTTTTTAGAAAGTGTTATTGATGGATCATATTTTCATTGTGGGAGCCGTTAAAACAGTAGACTTCATAGCCCTAGGAAAATAAAATGACTTCATTTCGCACTCGTCAAAGATCGATATTGATCTGCATACATGTTCGAGGAAATTCAACGTCAAACTTTTCTCGTAATTTTAATACTTTGTATGGGTCCCACTTTTCTCAAAGTGATGTTTTTAATTGAGGTTTAATCAACGTTCAACGCTTCATAAAGTTAGATCACCAATTAGTGCCATTCTTTTGAAGTATGAAAGTTACATTCCATGAAATTTCTTTGAATGACGAAACAAATAAAAGAAGTTGACTAAGTCCAGACCACACTCTTTTTAAGCAAAGCAGGAAGCTAAGTTAACTCCAGCAATTTATCCCGAAGAAAAAATGAGTGTTGGAAATCTGTCTATGGACACATTCAGAGAAGACGGCGAGTCCTTTGTTTCTAATACTGATGCAATTATCAACGGCACTTCTGATATTTCAGGTTTGACCTTAAGCTTGATCTCAGATCCCAATATTCCTAATTCGTCTAATTCGTCGACGAGTGCAGACGACCACCTGCAGCAGATTTCGACGGCTGCAGGCGGTGGTGGTGATATGATTGTGTCAGGTGCAACTTCCAGGATATATAATAGTATTGATTTCAGGGCATTTTCTAGGAATGTTAACGCTGCTTGCAATAATTACAGCGATAAAGTGGCCGAGGAAGGATCAGAGAGCAGTAACAGAATGAGATCTCGGGATGGTCTTGAACTTTGTTTAGGTTTGAGTATCGGCAGTGAGGCAGTGAACGAAGAACTACTTGTCAAAATCTTAATGGCTTGTGGCGAGGCAGTCCAACGAAACAACCTAAATCTAGCTGATGCATTAGTCAGGCTCATAAGAGAACATGCAGTTTCACAATTTGGACCAATTAAAAAAGTGGCAACTTATTTCGCTGAAGCTTTGGATCAAAGGATTCATGGAATGAATTTAGAAGATATTATGGAATTCTCTTGTTACACGGACAACCTCATGCAGATGCGCTCCCATGAGATTCGTCCGTACCTCGAATTCGCCTATTCCACTGCCAATCGAGCTATTCTTGACGCCTTTGCCAATTCTAGTAGAGTACATATAATTGATTTCAGCTTGAACCAAGGTCCGCAATGGCTAGCACTTATGCAGGATTTCGCTTTACGTCCTGGCGGTCCACCGGCTTTTCGGCTCACTGGAATTGGCTCACCACAGCCTGATAACACCAATGCCTTACGACAACTCGAGTGGAAGCTCGCCGAGTTTGCTGATATATTTGGCGTAGAATTTGAATTCCGTGAAATCGTGGTCCATTCTTTAGCCGATGTTGATATTGCCATTTTGGATATTAGGCCTAGTAATTACGAACAAGTGGCTGTGAACTCTATTTTCGAGCTTCAACATCTGTTGTATACGCCAGGCGAAGTCGAGAAGGTACTCAATTCAATCAAAGAGATGCATCCGAAGATTGTGACCATAATCGAAGAAGAAGCAAATCGAAGTGTCTTTATGGACAGGTTTAACGACGCATGGTCTTACTATTCAAAAATGTTTGACTCGTTAGAGAACTCAGAGTCAATTGATCAGCACAACAGCGGTGACTCAAGGTTGGTGCATGAGTGCCTAGGTCAGCAGATCAATAACATGGTGGCTTGCGAATTAGGAACTGAGCGAGTTGAGACGCTGAGTGAATGGCGAGTGAAGATGAACTCAGCCGGGTTCAACCCGGTTCAGCTAGGTCCAAGCACGTACCTACAAGCAACCATGATTTTGGCCTTGTTTCAAAATAGGGATGGATATCGGGTAGAACAAAATGATGGGTGTCTTACGTTGAGTTGGCATGGTCGGCCACTCATTTCCACCTCTGTTTGGCAGCTTAATTACGCCGCCGAGTCTAGGCTAGTCAGTTATGTATGAACTCGTTATTCTCTGTTTGAATAACTTTTTAGAGGAAGAACGTATTTCTTTGGCTAATTTAAAAAGATCCTTCAATTTACCCTACTTCGCCCAGAGCCAATATATGATATACAAGTACTCTTAGAGTTTGGTTTGGAAACAAGTTTAGGCAAGAATTATAATATAATGATTAGTAATGGAGAGTTTAGGCAACAATCTTTTTATGCTTATGTTACAATGAAGGTTAAAAAAATGCATCAGTGCCTCAGAAAGTTTCTAAAGTAAATTTATTTACAAAATAAAAAGAAAAAGTTTATATTCATTGTTATTCAATCATTTGCCGGTGGATCAGTCGTGTGGACCTTGTGGTAATGGTATCTTTTTGAAAAATGTTGATACAACTCGTATGCGAGTGAAAAAAGAGACTTGATTGGTTAAAGAAAAAGGATGCAAGACTTGATTGGATATTAACAAGAAAATTATTTATCTACATGAGCAGACTGCATGTTCGAGGAAGTTTAACGACCAACTTTTTATTATTATTTCTTTTTTCGTGCAGTCCAATTTTTGACCAACCAACACTTCATTAATTAGCAATAGTATAAGATATGAGTATATATTATATATACATTAGACATTTTCCAGGAAATTCAGTGTTCTCGCAATTTGTCATTGTTCGGGTCTCACGTGCCTCAAACATTGCTAATATTCCCTATTCGAACTATTAATATATAGTGAATTGACGTTATATTGAGATGGTGTTAGAGAGAGTCCGTATTTGAATCATATGTGATTAGCTATATAACCTTAATTATATAAATATTATTTATCTTCATCAGCCACGTTCGAGGAAGTTTAACGTCCACCTTTTCTCCAACCGCAAGACTTCATTGGCACTTGTCAAAGATCGATATTGATCTACATACATGTTCGAGGAAATTCAACTTCTAACATAATTTAGTCTTGTTTGGGTCCCTCTTTTTTCAAACTGATAATTTTAGTTGAGCTATATATTGTTTAATCCAAAAAATTATTTTTTAAGTCAGAGCAATATAATTAAATAGAATAATTCGGATTTCTTATAAATATACTTTCAACTATTCTCCAAAAAGGAGATATTCTTCTGACAATAGAAAATGATAAGAAAAATTTATGATTGACAATATGATTTAGAGATTTTTTTTCCTCGGGGGATACAAATTATGGAAGGGTGGGATTTAAATAATACTACTACTCGTAACCGTTTGCTTTGTTTAGCTCCTGTCTGTTACCATAATGATGGTCGTTACGTGATTGATTTGTAACGATTGAGATAATGATAACAAATAACGTGTAATCAGGGGATTGACGTATCCTTTCCTTACTTGTCGCCATTTATAATGACTTTAATTATCAGGCCGTAACTATTTTCATATGTTCAGCACCGAGACTAATAGGCATAGTGTACTCACGAATGTTTCCACTTTCTGTACATGTCCCACTTCATTAATTCCCTTGACACTTGTTGACAAAATGATTAAAAGAAAATAGTTATATAGTCATGTTATCTATTTTAAATGGGTTAGATAATGAATTTTTTAAAAATGAGTCGAATATGGATAAGAACCATATTATCCACTTAGAAAATGATTAACCAAATGAATAACTAATATGTTTAACTTTTACATTTGTAAAGTCTCAAATTGGAGGTTCCTCAAAATTGGAAGACTATGAATTCTCCCAAGTGATCATATTCAAGAAGACATGGATAATATGGATATCCATATTATCCGTCGGATAACCCATTTTTTATCCGTCTAAAATACGGGTCGGATCGAATAATTTATCCGTTTTTTGAATTACCCGTTTTCGACCCGCTCATATCCGATCCGACCCGCCCGTTTACCACCCCTACTTGTCATTACGACATTGATCCATGTTGCTAGTTATTTTTCACTAATACATGTATATTCTCAATTAGAAGCTTGTAATAAATATTAGAAAGTTGATCATCAACCATTCTTTACCGTATGAAAGTTACATTCCATAAACAAATGAAAGTGAAATTTCCCCGACTGACACAAAAAAAAAAAAAAAAAAAATTGACTGTGCGAAGACCTCACTCTTTTTAAGCAAAGCAAGAAGGTAACTCCAGCAATTTATCAACCGAAAAAGGAAGAAGAAGAAGAAGAAGAAAAGAAGCTGAGTTCTAGAGAGATGTCTACGGACACAATGATGGAAGACGATGAGGATTCTTTTCAATCTAATACAGATGCAATTATCTATGGAGCTTCTGATATTTCAGGTTGGACCCAAAGCTTGATCTCAGATCCCAATATTCCTAACTCGTCTAACTCGACGAGTGTAGATAACGACCACAAGCAGCAGATTTCAACGGCTGCTGGTGGCGGTACTGATTTGATTGTATCAGGTGCAGTTTCCAGGTTTAAGAATAATAAGCAAAGTGAACAAGAGTACTACTTGATTGGTGGAAAAGATAATCAAGATTGTGTCAAGACCTCACTCTTTTTTCGCGAACTAGGAAGGATGTTACTCCAGCCATTCAATTTATCAACAAAAAGAAAAAGACGAGAAGAAAAGAAGAGGAATTTCAGAGAGATGTCTATGGACACAATCAAGGAAGACGATGGGGATTCCTTTGTTTCTAATACGGATGCAATCATCTACGCCGCTTCTGATAATTCAGGATGGACTCAAAGCCTGATCTCAGATCCCAACATTCCTAACTCGTCTAACTCGACGAGTGTAGATGACCACCAGCAGCAGCAGATCTCGACTGCTGCTGGTGGTGGTACTGATAATTTCATTGTAGCATCCGGTGCATCTTCCAGGATATATAATGTCGATTTCAGGGTATTTTCTAGGATTAATGGTGTTTGCAATAACTGCAATGAAGACAAGGAGGTAGAGGAGAAAGCATCAGAGATCAATAACAGACTGAAATCTTGCGCTGGTTCTGAACTTGGTTTAGGTTTGAACATTGACAGGGCCGTGAACAATGAAACCAACATCAATATTGTCAACAACTATAATGTTGTGGAGGGTTCCAGAGTGAATGACTATTTCATCTACACTTCTGGAATTCAAGATTTTTCTTTAGATGGTGTTGAATTTTCAAGTGGCATTTGGGGTGATATCATTTCTATGGAGACATCTAACACCCCAGTATATAGTTCTGGATTTCAAGATTTTTATTTTCATAATGTTGAATTTCCAAGTGACATTTGGGGGGATCCCCCGTTAAATTATTGAAGTACTTTAGGATTTAAGTTATATGTACTGACTAACTTTTTATAGCATTAGTGTAATTTAACATGTTATAATCGGTTACACCTTCGTCAAAAACTTACATTGCGATAGGTCAAAGTTTTTATTTTATGCTGTTAAATTATATGTTGAATCCCTTAACTTCTTAGTATATTTACTTCTTTATACTTTGGCTTTCTTTAGTGAAAATTTTGGTTCTGCAGTTTATGTAATTATCTTTTAGATGACCTAATATTGTAAAAATTCGATACACTATACCCAATTATAATTCGTGTAAAACTTGTTCTCGAACCAAACCGCTCCTTTAATATACAAATCAAGATTAATTTACATTATTTTATCTCTATATGACAATCAAATTAACATAAAATGTTTTGCTCCTGATTTAAAGATACAAGGTTACCCTGCTTCGGTGTGTCCTGAATCAACGGTCTTCCTCTATTACATAGGAGTAATACTTTTACTAATATACCTATTTTTCAGCTGTAGCCATTGACATTGTCATAAAGTGTCTCTATTGGATTAAAATACGTTTTACAAAATGTTGTTATTGTGCTTTTGATTTCGAAATTGAGGACACAAATTCATGGTTTTTTCCACTCTCATTTTTCATTATATAGTTGGAGTCTGGATTTATTTCAATTTGAATCTGGCTGGCAATCTCTATTGAAGCCAAAACCAAACCATCCATTTGGTGATATAGTTATAAATCTCACATTCTTGATTTCGAGTCTCATCGTCAACAAAATGTTTTTACGTTCTTGACCAAAAAAAAAAAAAAATTATCTTTCAACATTTTGACATAACATGACATCAAAATTAAATTCCATCTAAGATTTCCTTTACCTCATCTAGAATAAAATAGATCTCGAGTTTTTCTTTTATCAAAGTAGTGATCGATCAGATGGCAGATCGTTACCTGGCCATTTTCTTTGTATCTCTTTCTTGTGTTTTTGGAGCATTTGATGCGAGTGCTGGAGATGTTGATCCATTATACAGGTAACATATTTGAGAATTTTACTTTGTGTTAGTAATGTTGTGAAAGAGTTCCAATTTTTCATTGTTCTTAGGTAGTGTAATATAGGTGCAACAGAAACCAAGTGGTCTTATTTGAATTTTGCATTTATCTTCACCACTGTCCTTTCTAAAACCATTTATTGTATTGTCTGAATAATCATGAATGCAGGGCATGTATTTTGCAATGTGAAAAAACTGGATGTGTTGGTGAAACATGCTTCACACATTGCAAATACTATATAGATGGTTCTTTCTCTGATAGCCAGAAAGAGCCCCTATACCGGCAATTGACACAAAGCGATTGCCCAAATGACTGCAAGTACCACTGCATGCTCGAAAGAGAAAAAGAACGAGCTGCACTTGGATTTGGACCTGTGAAATATCATGGTAAATGGACATTTAAACGAGTGTTCGGACTTCAGGTTTGTAATATTATGAGCCTTGGACCTATATATGTTTATGGGCCAAATCTCTATATTGGTTAACCTACATTGATCGTGGAAAGAGTTTTTACGCTCTCAGTTCATATTACTTAAGATCCTTTACTGATATATGCCTATTAATAAGAAGTGCAATCTTAACTTTCCAGGAGCCTGTTTCTGTTGCTTTCTCTGCACTTAACCTTGCAATGCATATCCAAGGATGGCTGTCCTTTTTCAAGCTACGATCTACGACGCTAAATAAGAGGATATCCTATGATTATGCTGGTCTGTGGCACATATACGCACTCTTGTCTGTGACTTCATGGTTTTGGAGTGTTGTCTTCCACAGTCGGTGAGTTCTAAATTGTTCCACGTTGATTTAGAGAATGAGTTGTTATATAGTCTCGGACAGTTCCTCGCCTCCTCAACTAGCTTTTGGACTTAGGTTAGGCCCAAAATCTATTTTCCTAACATCATGCTTTGTCATACTTACCCTTGCCTATCATATATTGGTTTCCTTATTCACCATATAATATCAGAGTCAGACTCATACTTATTCTTAGTATACCAAATGTTCAGTCTCATGTTATGTTATTTACCTTCCAATTAATCAGGCCTGGGCTTGCGAGGAGGAGGAGGTGTTAGATTGTCCCGCATTGATTGGTATAATTAGATATTGTCTCCTTATATAGTTTCGAACAATTCTCACCTCATGAGCTTGTTTTTGAGATAGAATTTGGCCTAAGATCCATTTTCTATTTTGTCATACTTACCCTGTTACCGGTGCTCATCATATTTTGGTTTCCTTATTTTCCAGATAGCAGGTTTTAGGCGTTTCTTTTGACCATATATAGTAATCTATTACTGCAATACGTGGCATGAAGTTCAATTCATTTTTTAGTGAAGTTAATATTGTTGTGGAATTGTATTAACTTGTTATCAGTACATTTATTGCAGAGGTGTGGAATTTACAGAAAAACTAGATTACTCATCTGCAGTGGCATTACTTGGATTTTCGCTTATAATATCGGTACTAAGATGTTTCAGTATAAAGGATGAGGCTACAAGAGTATTGGTTTCTGCTCCATTGCTTGCCTTTACAACCACCCATATTTTGTACCTGAACAACTATCAAATGGATTATGGTAATTTCCTCATCTCACTGTTTTAGTTTAGGGTGCAAAGTCATGCATTGAAAAGAAGGTGAACCTTCGCGTAACTAGTAAAGTTGTTGCCATGTGATCAGGAGGTCACATGTTCGAGCTGTGGAAATAGCATCTTGTGCATGCAGTAATGTATGGTAAGACTGCATACAATAGACCCTTGTGGTCCGACCCTTCTCCGGACCTTGCCCATAACGGGAGCTTAATGCACCGGACTACCTTTTTTTTATTTATTTATTTATTTTTTAGTCATGCATTGAAAATAGAATGTAGACTACATATTCTTATAAAACCAAGCACAACAGCATAGGAAGATATCAAGATAAAAGGGAAAGAATACAGAGATAATTATTGGGGTGGGCTGCTTTTTTGTGTCTAGTTAGACTATACTCTACACCACCAAGAGTTCTCGTGGAATAGTTGAGATCCTTTCACCTTTCAATCAGAGGTCTTGAATTGAGTTGTGAGAATAAAAAATCTAAGTAGAAAACGCTTTATTCCTTTTAGTAGGCCAATCCAAATTGAAATTGAATTAGTCGAATCCGTGCTTCGAATGTCGGGTGCCTAGAGGTGGCAAATGAGCAGATCAACCGGTCAAAGTTGGGTGGATCCAAATAAATAAATGGATCATGATCCAATATATCCAAAGTGTGCTTGAGTCACAATAGATTAGATTAAGATGGATCAAATAAGGGGTCATAACTCAACCCGTCCAACATGACTCAATCTCTCCTCTCTCTCTCTCTCTCTTTTCCTTCAAAAAGAGAACTAATGTATCGTTTTGAATTATTAGCTTAAAGTCTTCTAATTTACATAATTTTCAGTCTTCTAATTTGATTTTGTATGTTTGGGTCTCGATTGCATTATGACCTGTCCAGTTACATTATGTTGGCTCAGTTTAACACAACAGTTTAATGGATCATTTCGCGTTCAGCTTGTTGGGTCAAGTTAACAAATTGGGTCATAACTCAATTCGTTTAAACTTGCACGGTTTGTCTAGTTGCCAAAAAATGGATTGATTTGCCACTTCTTGTTGCTATGTTCTATGATTATCATTCTTTCCATTTGATATTTTACAAGTACTTATTTGGAATTTATTTTCAGGATGGAACGTAAAAGTTTGTGTTATAATGGGTGTTGCTCAGCTTCTGATTTGGGCAATTTGGGCTGGAATTAGTCATCATCCATCCAAATGGAAAATATGGACAGTGGTTGTTGGGGGTGGATTTGCTATGCTTTTAGAAATTTATGACTTTCCTCCATATGCAGGACTAATAGATGCACATTCTCTTTGGCATGCTATTACAGTTCCTCTGACTTATATTTGGTGGAGTTTTATCCAAGATGATGCAAAGTACCAAACAATTAACCCTAGTAAGAAAGTAGAATAATATTTTTTTAAAGGGTTGTATATCTTTTTGAGGTTGATTTAGGTAATATTAGTCAAGAGAGACTCTTTTTCATTTGTTTTTATTTCTTCATCTTAATTTTCAACTTGCAAGAAGAGGATTGCTTTCACAAGAAAAATAGAGTTTTCAATGATAAGCAGAGTTCCGTTATTTCTAACTGTGAGCACGTGATTTTTGCCCGATTAAAATAATCCTACAATATTCACAAATAGATCTTTTTCTTAATTGTTTTTTAATCTTCATAAGATTTTGTAGGAAATTTTGTTAATCAATTGTTTGCATTTAGTTTCATATTTAATATTTTAAAATCATGAAAAATACCATAAAAATGTTCAAAATTTCATGCATTGCATTTTAGGTTGTTATTTGCATTTTTAAGGTTAAGTTATTAATTAATTGCATTATTAAACAAAAATCACAAAATACCATAGGTTCTTGTATTTTTAGCTTTTAGTTTCGAATAATTAATTTTGCTTCCATTAGTTTTAGGTTAATTAATTATCTAAATATTAAAAATAATGAGTAGGTTAATTTTGCTAGAATCTAATTAGGATTTGTTTTTCAAAATTTGTAGATTTTTAAAATGAAAGAAAACAAAGAAAAGAGAGGCTTTGTTTGGTCTTGATTCAAATTGGGCCAAAATTTTTAAATTGGCCCAAAAACCCAAATCCGCCCCAACCCAATCCCCTTGACCCTTCATCTGAATCCAACCCGCTGACCCGTCGACTAACCCGCCCCACTCCCTCTTAATCTTGGCCATCCATCCACTTGGATCCAACGTTCCATGTTATTTACCCATGCCAAATATAATCTTCATTTCTAAAAGCTCCTAACCCTAATCTCCCTTACCCTAATTAGCTACACCACCCGCTCCACTCACCTCACTGTCGCGTCGCCACCACCCAAACCCACCAGAAAATTCTCTCTAACCATTACGTGCTCCCTCCTCTCTCCTATTTTTTGTTATTTTATTTTTATCTTGTTTGTTCAATTTTATTATTACCGTTGTGTCTTTTACTTTAGCTATCTTTACTATTTTTGCTGTTAATATTTTTCTTTTCTTTAGTATTTTTATCATCTTGTATTTTGGCCACGCTTTTCTTGAGTCGGAGTCTATCGAAAACAGACCCTCTACTTTATGTAGAGGGTAATGTCTACATACACTTTACCATCTCCACACCCCATTTGTGGGGTCATATTGGGTAGGTTGTTATTGTTGCTTGTTTTAAACTTGTTATAGTTACAATTTTAATGGTTCCTGAAGGTCTACTCTGTTGAGAACCATTGAGTTTAATGTTTGATGTCAAGGGCTAATTAATACACATAATTGTGCTTCACATTCTTTGATGCAAATTCTTAAACTTAGTAGTAGTTTGTATTTTATACACGTAATTAGAATAAGCTAAAGCCACGCAGTTTGTTATTTTTTGTTGTTTATGGCAGCAAAATGATTATCCAGCTTGTTTAGACAAGATTCTCAAAATTTAAACTTAGTAAAATTTAAGATTACTTACAAATTAAATTGTGACAATAGACCCAAACTGTAATATACTTGAAGTAAAGAAGATTGAATGACACAAAATTGGAATGATTTATTATTGAATATGGAAATTGTTACAATTTTGACTTTAGCAAGAAATGTAGAATTGTAATACTAAACTTCACAAGCTCATTCTAATCTACTTCCATGGCGGATTGTACCTGAAAGAGAATAGAGAGTGTAAGAGAGAAGAAGGATTAAGAGAGAAGAGAAGAGAGAATCGAAGAGAGAGAAGAGGAAGTTGGAAATACCAGATCATAACTGCCCAGCTAGTTGCCCCTAACGGTATTTAGTTAGAGTATGGAATAATCCTGGCCTTTGATCTTTATTAATCTGCCTTGAATCTCCACAGTCCAATTTATTATGTTGATCTCCAGATATAACCCTTTATTCCCTAATAAGCTGCCATGTGTCCCCTTCTACTAATAATATCAGATGCCTCATTTGTAACGCCACTTTCCTAATTCATCTACTTTCCTTCTCAAACCTACCCCAAACCCTTATTCATTACAATACCTTCCCGATTGAAACAGACCTTGTTCTCAAGGTCGAAGCCCAACAATAAAATTTGGAAATTGACTTTTAATGTAACCCAAATCCTCGCCCACGTTTCCTTTGCTGGGTCAAGATTTGCCCACTGCACCAATGTCGTGACCCCTGCAGCATTATTGACCTTCACCAGTCATCTGCTCAAGATTCCCATAGGTTGGATCAAGATTCGACCACTTGAGTCACACACCGGCGGCTACTGTTACACAGTAATGGTAGGACCCACTCTCTTCTTCAATTGCGAGACGTGGAACACTGGATGTATCTGAGATCCTGGAGGAAGCTCCAAACGGTATGCTATTGTCCATATTTTCTATAAGATCTTGTAAGGTCCATAATATTTAGCGCTTAGTTTTAGATTTCTCCTGACAGCTACTGTAGACTATCTCTATGGTTGGAGTTTAAGGTAGACCTAATTTCCGACCTCCAAAACTCTTTCTGTGCAGTTCTGATCTGCATAAAACTTCATTCGTACTTGAGCTTGCACCAAATTGTCCTTAAGATGCTTATGTCTTTGAGCTAAACAAGAACCGACAACAGTTTGAGTGGGGTATGGTAAATACCCCATAGGAATCTAGGGAAGGGAAACCCATAAAGAGCTTGAAAGGGTGAAATTTGTAGTACACTGTGGTAATTAGTGTTGTACCACCATTCAGCAAAAGGAAGCCATTTAAGCCACTTCTTAGGAGTAGAAGAGGCCATAGCTCTGAGGTAGGATTCTAAACATCTGTTGAGCCTCTCCTTTTGCCCATCTGGCTGTGGGTGATAAGCAGTAGTCATATTGAGTTTAGTACCCATAACTTTGAAAAGTTACTGCCAGAATTGACTAGTAAAAATAGAATATCTGTCAGTTATAATAGATTTGGGCAGCCCATGTAATCTATAAATCTCTTTAAGGAACAACTCAGCTACCTCCTTAGCTGTAAAAGGTGTTTCAAAGCTAGGAAATGCCCATATTTGGTTAGCCTCTCAACCACCACAAGAATAGCATCCTTCTGCCCTGAAGAAGGTAAACCTTCTCCAACATCCATGGCAATATCCTGCCAAGGCATGTTAGGGATGAGGGGGGTACCCAGGAGAATGTACATTCTCATTGTTGATATCCAATTTTGTCCTCTTATTTTTATAAATATCATACATACTTTCAAAATATCATTTTGTACTATCACCAATTTATAAGAGTCATATAAGTATTTTCTATAAGTCATGGATTCCCTCTGCGATCTACTTACCTTTTATTGATTATCTCGTTGTTTCTTAACAGACTATGGTATTACATAGTACTTGTCCCATTTTTTCAAGTACCAATCCCCAAATCAAGTACCATCGCCTTCAATCTTCGAGATTTAGACAATATTTCGTCTGTATACACACACTACCAGGCCATATAAACCCCTATTTCCATGTTCCCCTCTAGCTCTGAACAATCATAGAAATTACTATTATTCTCTCACTCTCACTTGTCTTATACTACAGTCTTTTGGCCGGCTGAAAGTCAAGGCCACCAGAATTCGATTATCGGACCTTTCTCCATGTGAGCACTGCCCGGGTTTTATTCGAAATCCTTGGGAACTCTGATGCACTGAGATTCCTGGGTTTTACTGCTCTTCTTGCTTCTGACGTTTGAGATATTGTTGAAATTGTTCTTCTTGTCTACTTGTTTGTCAATTTGTAGTTGATAGGTACCTTTGGCCCTTGCAATTTCATTCTCTTTTCGTTTGAGTTCCTGCTTTATATATCTATGTCCCTAAAACTTTTGTGAATTAACATGCTATTATTTATATCCTTGTTTGCTCTGAGGTTGTTCTTGAGGCTCTATACTTCTCTAGTATCTGAACTTGCCTAATTTTAAACCTTGATTTCGGATCTCTTAAGCATATTTACGCTAATGTGTATGTTCGAATGCTTATTAATTACTACTCTTCCTAAGTTTATCCCCCTACTTTGTTCTACATTCTTGTGATAGATCATCTCGCGTGTTCTAATACCCTACTGAGACTAATGCCTAACTATGTTGTCGGCCCAAATATGGTATCCTGCTAATTGTGTGCTTTAATGTGTCTTACATGCCTAATTCAATCATGTGTTGTGTAATACTACTTACAACTTATAAGGTGAACTGCAACATCTCCTTTTACTTATGTGTGGTATGATAATCTAGTTTAATATGTCCCTTCTTACTTTGAATTCTGGCTTTCCTAAACTTGTTTAGTCTACTATGTTATGCTGATGCTTGTTGTTAATCTTGAGGTTGCCTCTCTACCTTGTTCTAGACTGTTATGTAAACCAAAATCACGCCTAGGGTTTATTCTAATTCCTGCTGAGTCATTCATGCCTAACTTGCTGCCTTATAACTTGTTCTCATGAAATTTATATCTTTATTGTGTGTTTGTTGACTTGACCAACTCTATATTCTTCGGTACTAGTTAAACCTTTTAAGAGTAAATATCATAACTAACCTCTCCTCCTATATATGGCCAACTAGTACCGGGTTCAATACTAGCCTATCTTGCTTCTGAAAATTGACGTGTCTCTTATATTGTGACTAATGTTCAGCATACTAAAGTTTTCCTCCTGCTCTATTAAGTAATTTCTTGATCTTGAACTTGTTTTGTTATGATGCTCATTTCATTAGGTTTTTCATGATAGACACTTTCATGAGAAGGTTGTGCTTTGCTTGTTTCTTGTCTGTGATTCTGCTAGACCCTCATCTAAGGTTCTATAGGTTGATTCTTAATCATGTTTCATTTTGAAACTCTTTGGAATAGTTTACTATCCTATGGTGGTCAATCTTGTCATTCTTAAACTTTCTTGCTGGAATTACAAGCATAAACTTGCCTTATATGTGCCTTTCAATTTAGCCTGTTCTTTTTTATATATCCTGGCTAGAGCTGTTATTAACTACAACTTTAAGAACTAAGTGTTTAAGTTATTTAGTTAATTCTTTGAGTATTTTGTCACCTATATGGCTGAATTTGGCATGTGTTTGGGTAAGTAAGTTATTCGTGAGGCCTAGTATTGGGCCATACATATTGGGTTTGAGCATGGAACTCAGGTTGCTATGGTAA